GGAGAGGGGCGCAGGGCTGTCAGGATTCAGGGTGGGAACCCGCAGTGCACGTTGGAGGCAGAGAGGGGCTAGGGGAGCAGCTGTAGCTGAGAGGGGTCCTTTATTGTAACGGGGCTCCCCCGTGCCCCTCCTTGTCGACGCTGAGGTCGAGGCTCCTGCAGAGGTGCTAAGGGCAGCGGACGGGGGTCTTCCCTGCATTTGCCTGGAAGTTTTCTTCCCACCTGGGCCTGGAGGGAGGGTACCTAAGCCCCAGTCACCAAGATCCCAGCAGTTTCGGGGGGAGCCGGAGCTCAGCGTCTACTTCCGCCTGCCTTCACGCGAATCTTTTCCATCTGAGAACATCTCTTTCAGCAGCCGCAGCGCACATACCCACACGCCGCACTGTGGACGCGGACGTAGCTGCGTCCTAGGGACGGCTGTGCCCTGCGCGACCAGCTAGCCCGATGAGGTCACCCCAGGTAACCCGTGACCCGCTGAGGACAAGGGGAACAGCACCTGTTGGAACAGGGCTGGATTTAAGCAGTAACTGTCCAGGATGCCCTGTGCGGTTTGTATCCATCTCCCCCTCGGAAGCCTGGAATCTCAGGGATCCTGCGTTGTCTCTGCACATGGTGGCGACCACAGTTGTGTGTGTGAATGAATGAGAAACTAGAAGGGCCTCACTGTAACCCCCTGTGGAGACTGCGGGGGGGGGGAGCCCCCCCGCCCCCGGCCCTGCACTGGACATCGCATTCAGTATGACTACATCCTGTGTCTGATATTGTGGTCAAATGTGCAGGGAAAAAAAATATTTAGCAGATGCTGTTCCTGGGCATCTTTCTACATTTATATTTTCAAAACTAATAGCTTTTCTGTAAGTATTTCCTATAATTATGGGGCATTTGCTGGTGCCCAAGTGTGAAATACTCTAACAGGCCGCAGGAGGCTGCCTAAAGTTAGTCTGTAGCTAGAAGAGTTGTGGTGAGTAATTTAAAACTTGGTTGAGATCTAAGCACTCTTCATCCTTGTTTTAATATTGCTGGCACCTTGATGCACTTTATAATTAACAAAAAAAAGTAGTTTGGCTCTTTGATAACATGCTTCTCTCACTTTACGAGGTAGCCCAGATCTCATTTGCGGTCCATTGGTCCAGCAAACACTCCTGCCTGGGGAGCCATGCATGTGCAGAGCACCAGGGCGCAAAGGTGACCACGGCTCAGGGATCGCTGGAAATTCCCCCGGTTAACAAGCTGTCCCTGCAGATTGTGACATGTGTACCCAATCCTGTGGGACCCGGACAGGGCAGCCTCGGAGTCACACGAGGCTGTCTTGAAGTAGTGACCCTCAGAGCGGATCCTCAAGATACTGATAGAGGCTCGCAAAGAAGAGAAGGGGGACAGGACGGTGCGGGCAAGAGTTGGGCAAATGCAAAATGCTGGAGGCGTGAAAAACGGTCACAGTCAAGGTGTGATGTGTAGGCCACGGGCATCAGATCCCACATCTTGATCACCTGTGGAAGCCCATGGATGCAAGGTTTGCATTTTGAGAACATTTACTTTGTCAATGTGGAGAATAGACCAACGGTAGCTACAGGCAGTGTGTCTGGATGTTGTGAGGACAGACAGATGACCTGGCCCTGAGCAAGGGCAGCGCCCTGGGCTGGAGAGGCCCGGCTGCATGGAAGAGGTAAAAGCTATTAATTTGGTAACTGATGGGAGGTGTTGGGGGAAGAGTCTGGCCAACTCTGAATTGTCCAGCTTCAGGAGATGAACTCATGCGATCCTGATGGTCAGGACAAGGAGACGGGAGGGAAGCGGACGAGGAGGTGTGCTATTGTGTTAAGTTAGAGGAACTTGGAGGGTGTTTTGTGCAGGGGCCAGAGTTTGCATTTCAGAGGTTATTAGATTCCAGGAAATAGCCCAAGAGAAAAGCATTCAATTGGTGGAATTTAGTTATCTTTGTTGATTTGAGTTACTTGTCAGGGTGCAACTTTGTGCATAAGTGTCATCCTTTGTCGTCTGGTAGCACAGGCCAAGCCTTCATAAACAGGGTGCAGCCACGGTCCCCTTCCCCACATTATAGGAAAATCATGTAAAGCAGTGGTTCTCAACCTTCTGGCCCTTTATTTTTTTTTAAATATATTTTTATTGATTTTAGAGAGGAAAGGGGAGGGATAGAGAGATAGAAACGTCAATGATGAGAGAGAATCATCGATTGGCTGCCTCCTGCACGCCCTCCACTGGGGATCGTGCCCGCAACCCAGGCATGTGCCCTTGGCCAGAATCGAACCTGGGACCCTTCAGTCCGAAGGCGGACGCTCTATCCACTGAGCCAAACCAGCTAGAGCCTTCTGGCCCTTTAAATACAGTTCCTCATGTTGTGACCCAACCATAAAATTATTTTCGTTGCTACTTCATAACTGTAATGTTGCTAATGTTATGAATCGTCATGTAAATATCTGATATGCAGGATGGTCTTAGGCGACCCCTGTGAAAGGGTCGTTCGACTGCCAAAGGGGTCGAGACCCACTGGTTGAGAACCGCTGATGTAAAGGAAAAGAAATCTTTTTTTTCAAACTTAAATTGAGACCAGGCTCTAACAGTAGAGTGCCAATGAAATGTAACTCATTATTCATGCACTTGAACCCTTGACATTCTCAAAGGCTTCACCCCTGACCTTCACGAGTCTCCAAAACCATGAAAGTCACTATGACATATAATTTCCACTATAAAAAGCAGTAAAGTGTAACTGAAAAAAATGTAAGGGACTCTTTAATGGTTTTATAGCCTATGGGGCCAAGGTAATTTCTAAAACTACTTAAATAAATGTTGCTATTAAAATAAACTCCTTACCTTATGACATCTGTACCTTATTAACTCCGTAGTTCCCTGACTCTGCAAAGAAAAACAGTTAAAGCAGCCTGAGAGTTCCTCCATGGATGTCGCTGGAAAGAGCTGAGCTGTGCTGGGACAGGGCTGCCCGGCGGAGGGCGTGGCCGTCACTAGCTAAGTGGCTGGCCGTGCACTCTGGCCTCCTGGCTGACCATTCAGACTTGTGTCTTAGCACATTAAACCGAGGCAGAGACCTTTCTGGTTACTCGATGGGGACTGTTTTCACCCATGAATATTTGATCTGCAAATGCCAGCGGGCCTCCGCCTGCAGCTCAGATGAGAGGACTCCCAGGTGCAGCCCTGTCTCCGTGCCGCTCCTGTAGCTTGTCTTCCTCTCTTGGCTGGATGTCTCCTCACCCCCTCGTAGCATCCTGTACCTGCCTCTGTAGCACCTTCCATGCTGTCCCACGGTGGTGGGGTCACACCTGACCCCCTCCGTAGGCAGTTCACGCTCCAAGGATATATGTCGTGAGGTCCTATTGTCCAGCCTAGTGCCTGGTGCCTGGGAGTGGATCAATAAATGTTTGGCCCTAGCCAGTTTGGCTCAGTGGATAGAGTGCCGACCTGAGGATTGAAGGGTCCTGGGTTTGATTCTGGTCAAGGGCACGTACCTCGGTTGCAGGCTCTTTCCCGGCCCGGACCCTGGTTGGGGCACATGCAGGAGGCAACCAATCAATGTGTTTCTCTCACATCGATGTTTCTCTCTGTCTCTCCTCCTCCCTTTGGCTCTCTCTAAAAATCAATGGGAAAATACCCTCAGGTGAGAATTAAAAAAAAAATGTTTGAATGACTCCAATTACTTTTTGAAAATATGAGAAAATGGTATTTCCCACAACTTAACGCTGAGCTCCGTCTCTTTACCTACAGCAAGCCTATGTTTCCACCCCAGTGCTTTCGGC